GACGCGCGCTCGCTCCTCCTGCTCGCTGCCGGCGCCGCTCCCGCCTCTGCCGCGGACTGGAGCATCCAAGACCCGCCGCGCCCTGAGCCCCGCCGCGCCTCCCTGCAGAGTTCTGGCCGAGAGGCTGCTCACCGCCAGTCCCCCTCGGGTCGGCCTCTCCAGAGCAGCCGAGCGGCAGGATCCCGGGCTGCGGCACTCCCAGAGGCTTCTGGAAGACTCCGCACAGCCAGAGCCGGTGGAGAGTTGCTGGCGCCTCCGGCCCAGGCCCTGACGGTTTTGGACAGCAGGGGTGGCTGCTGGCCCTCAGTTCCTCCTCTTCCTCCCTCCGAGCCCAAATTTGGGATTTCTACTCCAGGAGAATTCTGCACACCTCCCATTATGAGCCTCATGGGCTGTGGAGGGGCCAGGGGCTGTGACTGGAGCTGAACCTGGAGAATACAGCTGCTGTCAGCTGCCCCAAGGGTCCAAGAATGGGGGGAGTAGCACCGAAGAGGCCTAAGGGAACCCCGTGAGGACCCCCACACCCTGAGAGTGGGGACTGAGGAGCCTGGGCCATGCCTCCGCTGCCGCTGGAGCGGGACCCCCGGCAGCAGCGCGGGGTCTCCCTGCTCGTGCGGTATTTCATGATCCCCTGTAACGTCTGCCTGATCCTCCTGGCCACGTCCACGCTTGGCTTTGCGGTGCTGCTCTTCCTCAACAACTGTACGTGTCTGTGGGAGTGGCCACCTCTGCCAGGCCCAAGGTTCCCCGCCTCAGCCACCAAAGATTGGGGGACAGGCAGGGTCACAGAGAGGCCACCAACTGTGGCATGACTCAGATGAGCCACAGCATCTTCTGGGAACACCATGGATCATTTCCTGGATCCCTGAGCCCCTCTAAGCCTGTCCTGGGGCTTGGGGTGGGGGCTGACCCTCTTCCTGAGCTGCAGAGACAACTTTCTTCGGGAGTTGGAGGGGTAAGGGTGCAGCTGGCAACCCTGGGAGTAGGAGCTTTGGCAGGGCCTGTGGCTCATGTGGGGAGTAGGTGGCAGCCCACACCCCTGCCACTGAGCCTCACCTGGCAGGTGTCAGGCCATGACAGTGCAGCTGGAGGGACAGAGAAGAGCCAGGGTCTCTGCTTTTGTCCACCCCTGGTCCTCAGCCAGTCCTAGAGGCTCACAGTGGGGCCAGGGGAGGGATGTGTGCAAGCAAGAGTGACCCCTCCATACTGGGCACAGGAACAGGCTGTGGAAGGACTGGCTCAGGGGGCCTAACTTGGAGATTTATTTTTTTCCAGACAAACCTGGGACCCACTTCACGCCAGTGCCTCCGACACCTCCGGATGGTGAGTGGGGGCTCATTGGTAACAGACTGAGCTTGGGAATCTGTGTCCAGAGGGGCAGTGGCACTCTTGGGGTTCAGGGGCTATTCCTGGGGAGTGCACATCAGCTGTGTTAGATGTGCCTGGACAAGGGAACCTGGGTCCTTCCTAGGGAGTCCATAGTGGTGGACAGCAAAGGGGGTGTGGGGGCTGGAGTCCCTGGGCCTGGCTACATCTTGGCCTCAAAATTGGGGGAGTAGTCCTGGAACCCACAGGTTGAGAGGTAGGTCAGACAATGTGTGCAGAGTGGGTGGGAGGGCCTGGGGCGTCAGGGGAGGGCCTCAGCAGGACCAGCGGAGAGGGACTGGAGGGCCTGTCCCCGGGACTGAGCAGGCTGGGGCTGACCTTCTTGACCTGCCTTGTGGGCTAGGGTCCAGCTTCCCCGGGGAGGCCTGCTGGTGTGTGGGTTGTTGTAATTAAGCTAATGTGAGAGGGAAAGAGAGAAAGCTGCTAGTGCTGCAGGAGGGCAAGGGAGAGGGGTGGTCTGCGGTCCTCTCGGGAGAAGGGTGTGCTCCCAGGTGAGCTTTCAGTGCCCGAGTCCGCTGTTCAGCAGGCACTTGCCCAGGTCCATGGAAGTACACACACAGAGGGACACTCATACATGGGATGGGCCATGGGAGGGGACAGGTCCAGGACTGAGTTTCCCATGGGCTGTGGGCAAGAGACCTAGAGCCGGCTGGATTTAAACACCCTCCTCTCTTTCAGTGTCCTCAGCCTCCTCTCCTGAAGCCCAAAAGCCTGGTATGTCTCTTCCTTTGCACACACACACTGGCCCTCCCCACAGCTGCCCATGTGGGCCCCACACCTGCACCATGATCCCGGTGCCCACTTGGGGACAGCTATACGCCATGACCATCGCATCCCTCCCAGTCACACACACTGCACATTCTTGGCCACAGGCAGGGCTCAGGGCATCCGCTCCATCCTCCAACCTACCCGAGTCCGGGAGGAGAGTTAAATATACCCACTCCAACCCGAGGCTATAAAAAGCCAGCGCCGCCTCCAGCACCGCACATTGTGAGGGGGCTTTGGCAAGCTGGGAGTAAGGCTCCTGCAGAAGGGCATAGACAGGGGCAGGGGCAGCAGAGCCCAGGAGGTGACCCTTAAGGGCCATGCAGCTTACAGGTGTCTGGGTGCTCCACCTGCGCTACCATGGTGCAGCATGCATGATGACAGGGCTAATACAGGTGGGCATGAATGATGCCTGACAAGGGCAGGCTGTTAGGACGAGCTGTGCCTGCTCTCATGTGTGCGTGTAAGTGTGCCATCTCGCTTGTCTGTGCACATGGTTTCTGTGCTCATGCATGCTTTATCTTGAATCAAGAAGTCATCTTGAGCCTCTGTGATCCCCTAGCCCTGTAGGGGAGCAGACACCAGGGGTGCACTCATCTGACCTAACGGCCCGAGGGCCTGGGGAGGAGATGGGATGAGAACCATGTGCCCCAGCCTCAGCTTTGCCTGAACTATATCACCAAATGCAGCCAGGAGAATGCCCCTCAGGAACTGTCACTCTGAGAAGGGAGTGGACAGTGGAGGGGCTGGGACCTGGACCTGCCTATCTGACCTGGGAGTCTGTGCTGAGGCCTCAGCTCTGTGCTACCCACTCCAGGGGCACCCTGACCTCTCCTCTGCCCTCAGCCACCTCTAGTCCAATAGCTAGTCCCACGGAGCTCGTCCTTGAAATAGCTGTGGCGTCCTGCCCCAAGTCACTCACCTTCCAGTCCATCCTCCAAGTACCTGACCTGCTACCCCAGTCTTGCTCACCACGGGTGAGCTGCCATTCACCACCACCACTTTCCTTCCCAGGTCTCTGTCTTGAAGGGACAAAGCAGGGCCCTGGGGTGTGGAGGGAGGGTGCAAGTCTTGGCAGGTGAGGAACTTACTGGTCATCTAGGAGTAGGTGTCCTTTGCCAAGGGGTTGGGATTTCGGGTGTTATCTGGCTAAACCAAGGTGACCAGAAGGAGAGAAAGGCTTGAGCCCGAGAGCATAGACACAGCAGCTGACCAAGGAGCCTGAGAGGCAATGAGGTGACCAGGTCTTCGGCCACGGGGTCATGACCCTGGGAGAGACCTTGGTCAGCAGGTCCAGCTGAAGCCAAATAGGGCAGCCAGCCAGATGTAGCCATTGCCCGTGGATTTGGCCTGGGGTCCTGGTGCCTTGGGCAGGAGAGGGCTGAAGGTGAGAGGGAAGTGCTAAGGGGAAAGAGAAGCAGACAGCAGGAGATGGAGGGTGAGAAGAGGGGTTAAGTGTGGACTGTGTTTGAGCCAGGACAGGGGTGTAGTCGTGGTGGCTGACCCCTCCCCCTCTCCACAGAGCTGTGGGCCAGGCCTCTCCAGGCCTTTGCAGGTGTTGGCTCATTGAGCCTCACAACAACCCTTCGAGGGAGGTCCTATTGTCTTCATTCACACAAGGAGGTACTGAGATGTGGTGATGGGATAACTTGCCCACAGTCACATGGCAGGTGAATGCAAGGTGGCAGCCTGGCTCCCGGACCTGACGAGGGACCTCGGTGGTGCCCAGAGGAGGTGGGGGGAGGACAAGGCTGAGGTGGTGGGAGGGGAGCCTCGGTAGGTTGCAGAATCCATGCTGACCCCACCCTTGCCTCCGGCCCCTGTTCACTCAGCCTGTATTGGGTGGGAGCAGGGGCTCTCAGACAGACAGCAGGAGCCTGGGGTGGGCCGTTGCTGTGGTGACAGCTCCCTGTGCAGCCCCACCCCCTCTGGAATTGACGGTGCTTCCTCTTGCCCCACTTCCTGAGCCTAATGGGAGGTGATGGAGATACCCCTGTCCCCCCATAATTTATTCATGATAATTGGACCCAATTAAACACTTACTAGATCCAGACAGCGGCAGCCCGTAATGAGCCTGCCCTGCCTGTGGGTGTGTAGTCCTAGCTGGGGTCCTGTGCAGTCAGTGTGCCCCCTACCCTGACACTGTGCTCAGGAGGGGCTGTCCCCGAGGGCTCTGCAGAAGCTCCGTTATAGGATGTGTGCTGGGGACATGACAAAGTTAAGAACTGAAATATTTAAAGAAGAAAATGTCAGGTCTGCAGAGCCCAGGTGCTAGGGTCCCTGAGGAGGTCATGCTGAGCATGAGGTGGGCAGCAGGGCCTGGGGAGGGGGGTGGGGGCTCAGGAGGACAGGTGGGAAAGGATGAGGTGTGTGGGTACCCAAGGGGCCCCAGGGAGAGATGACCTGGTCAGCTTGCAGCTGGGAGGTCCAGGAGGACGGGAGGGCAGGAGCTGCTGCAAAGCACGGACCTGGGGGAGGCTGGCTGTGGGGGCATGGAAGGTGGGGGAGTAGGCAGGGAAGGGCCTGTGTGGGGACAGGCCTGAGGAGAGGGGAGGCCTCCAGAGGAACAGGAGGGAGGAGGCATGAGAAGAAAGGGGGAGCCAGGGCACTGGGTTCTTGGACGAGGATGGAAAATGTGACATGACCTCAGATACCACCACCCCCTGCCCTGCCGCTGTGTGACCTCAGGCGGGTCCATGAAAGGCAGGGGAGCTGGTCCCTGGGGAGGTGGCAGGGGAAAGTCAGTGGTGGACAGTGGAGCAGCTCTCAGGGAAGAGGGTGGGCCGGGCTGGGGCTCTGAGGGGTAGAGGTCACAATCGGATGAGGGACTTTGATTCTGAGGTGGGGAGAGGATTCTGAGGTGGGGAGAGGCTCCTGAGCGAGTCCCTGTAATAGTGTTGGCCTGGGGGCTCTTTGCACCGTGTGTGTGTGTGTGTGTGGGGATGGGTAAGTAGCGGATGCCTTGCTTCCTCCTACAGGTGCGGTCTAGGATGCCCTGTCCACAGTTGTGAGGCTGGGAGCGAGGGCAGAGAAGATGGGCAGGGGTTTGAGAGGGGAAGGCATAAGGCCCTGGCAGTGATGGGAGCACACGTGTGTTCCTCTGAGCGCCAGCACGGACATGGGCAGACACGCATGTACACATGTGACTGTCCATGCAAGGTCTCTGCAGGTGTGTAGACATTGGACCGTGGGCCGGGTGGTCCTGACCCACCACGTCCTGTCTTCCGCCCCCACCTCGAAGCATGCCGAGGAATGTTGTGTGGCTTCGGTGCCGTGTGTGAGCCCAGTGCAGAGGATCCGGGCAGAGCCTCCTGTGTGTGCAAGAAGAGCACCTGCCCCAGCGTGGTGGCACCTGTGTGCGGCTCAGATGCCTCCACCTACAGCAACGAGTGCGAGCTGCAGCGGGCACAGTGCAGCCAGCAGAGGCGCATCCGCCTGCTGCGCAGGGGACCCTGCGGTAAATGCGGGGCGGAGCAGGGGCTGGGCCTGCAGTGGGAAGGGGGACAAGGAGGGCCGGGCAGGGTGGGCAGGGCCAGCTACGAGTGTGACCCCAGCCTGCCCCACCCACAGGGACCCGAGACCCTTGCTCCAGTGTAACCTGTAGCTTTGGCAGCACCTGTGCGCGCTCAGCAGATGGTCTGACGGCCACGTGCCTGTGCCCTGCCACATGCCAGGGGACCCCCGAGGGCCCCGTGTGTGGCAGCGATGGCACTGACTACCCCAGCGAGTGCCAGCTCTTGCGCCGTGCCTGCGCCCGTCAGGAAGACATCTTCAAGAAGTTCGACGGCCCTTGCGGTGAGCGCTGCCCCTGCGCATGTAGCATGGCCTTGGTCTGTGCACAGCAGCTGTACCCTCACCTCCGCCTCCGTTCCTCCAGACCCCTGCCAGGGCGCCCTCAACGACCTCAGCCGCGTCTGCCGCGTGAACCCACGCACGCGGCACCCGGAGATGCTCCTGCGGCCAGAGAGCTGCCCTCCCCGACGGGCACCTGTGTGTGGGGACGATGGGGTCACCTATGATAACGACTGTGTCATGGGCCGAACGGGAGCCACCCGTGGTCTCCTCCTCCAGAAAGTGCGCTCTGGCCAGTGCCAGCCCCGAGGTGGGCAGCTCCTGGGGGAGGGCCCCATCCTGGCACCCTGCATGACCCAGGTCCCTGCCTGTCCCCACCCTCTTCTGCCCGCCTCAACGGTCCCCACTCACCACCTCGGGTGCCCTTGGATCCCCTGCACATCCCAAAGTGGGGCGTGACGTGGCACTCCGGCCCTTCTGATTGCCTTGCTCCCCACCCCCAGACAAGTGCCCAGAGGCTTGCAGGTTCAATGCTGTGTGCCTGTCCCGCCGAGGCCACCCCCGCTGCTCCTGCGACCGTGTCACCTGTGATGGAGCCTACAGACCCGTGTGTGCCCACGATGGGCACACGTATGACAATGACTGCTGGCGCCAGCAGGCCGAGTGTCACCAGCAGCACAGCATCCCTGCCAAGCACCAGGGCCCGTGTGGTGAGCACCATGGGTGGGGTCCACACCGGGAGCAGGCTGGTCCTGCCACGGTCCCTGCTGCCTGTCATCACACACCATCTCCATCCCAGTCATACTCCTCCTGGGGTTGTGAGGGAGGGCTGGTCACTCTGGGGCACCTGGCAGGGCTATTGTCTGCCAGCGGGCTCTGGGGTGGTGGAATCCATCAGGAAGGTGCCTGCAGCGCATGGGGGGATGTGGGGTGGAGGCAGAGGTCCATGTGCAGGCTCCCTGGTACCTGTGTGCAGCTGTCCTGCCCGTCAGCCCCCAAGTCCTCTGGGTCCCACCCTCTTGGCACACACATAGCCCCCTTAGAGGCAACGTCTCCGTCGGGCTTTGAGGCGCCAGCGGAGGGCAGAGACGGCGTGTCCTGCGTGGGCTGGGGCTCTGCCCACCTCTAACTCCGTCCCGTCAGTCGGTCTATCCATCTTTCCGGTCTCTCTGCGTCTGTCTCCTTTCCTCTGCCCTCCCTTCCCTCTTGGCTCCACCTCTTGTGTCTTCCAGCCTGACCTGCTGGCAGGATGAGGTACCGCGCCTGCCGCCAGGAGCTCGCAGCCTGAGGTCTGCCCCCCGCGCGGCAGGGGGGGGTGGCTCGCTGCTGCCTGGCCTTGTGGTCCTCAGAGCAAGTGGACAGACACCTCCCCCCCGTGTGGCCCTGAGTGTGACTCTGGGTTGCAGACTCCCCTACTGCCACACAGAGAGAGACCTGCCCCCCACATGCCTGGGTGTCCCGGGGCTGCTGAAGGTCAAGGGTCAGTGGCCTGGGTGGGCTGGGTAAGCCTGGCCCTGACAACCCACTGAGGGCAGTCAAGAAAGTCCTGTGTCTTGAAGGCAGTCCCGCCCCACACTCATGCAGGGGCCTGGGGCCGTTTGGGTCTGTGTCCCTGTCCACATCTGTCCTGTGTCTGTCCCTTTCTCTGCTGTGTCCTGTGCATCTGGCCCTTCTCCTGGTCCACTTTTCCTCTGCCATCCCCACCCTGGGAGAGGGTCTGCTGCGTGGGGCTAGGGGCTTTGTGCATTGCCAAGGAGAGCAGGTGGGGACCCTGCTGAGTGGCCATGTTCTCCCTAGACCAGCCCCCGTCCCCCTGCCGTGGGGTGCAGTGCCCATTTGGGGCCACATGTGCTGTGAAGAATGGGGAAGCTGAGTGTGCATGTCAGCAGGCATGTTCGGGCATCTACGATCCCGTGTGTGGCAGCGATGGCGTCACGTATGGCAGCACGTGCGAGCTGGAGGCTACGGCCTGCGCCCTCGGGCGGGAGATCCGGGTGGCTCGCAGAGGACCCTGTGGTCAGTGGTGGACGAGTGGGTCTCGTGAGTCTCGCCGGGGGTGGGCTGTCCTGGTCACCATGGTGATGGAGCCTTCTCCCCAGACCGCTGTGGGCAGTGCCACTTTGGAGCCCTGTGCGAGGCTGAGACTGGGCGCTGCGTGTGCCCCTCTGAGTGCGTGGCTTTGGTCCAGCCTGTGTGTGGCTCTGACGGGCGCACTTATGCCAGTGAGTGTGAACTACACGTCTATGCCTGCACCCACCAGATCAGCCTGCACGTGGCCTCGGCTGGACACTGCCGTGAGTGGGGCTGGGCCTGCTTGGTGGGCTGTGGTCCTGTGCCTCCTCCAGCCGGTGTCAGCTGACCCCGGCCTGGCTCCGCCTTCTGCAGAGACCTGCGGAGATACCGTGTGTGCCTTTGGGGCAGTGTGCTTGGCAGGGCAGTGTGTGTGTCCCCGGTGTGAGCGCCCTCCGCCTGGCCCTGTGTGTGGCAGCGATGGTGTAACCTACCGCAGTTCATGTGAGCTACGCGAGGCTGCCTGCCAGCAGCAGGCGCAGATCGAGGAGGCCCGGGCGGGGCCGTGTGAGCAGGGTAGGTTCGGGGCACAGCTGGTGTGGGCTGCTGGGCATCCACCTCAACCAGGACCCTGCAGCTGACCCAGCCTCCTCCCCATAGCTGAGTGCGGCTCAGGTGGCTCCGGCTCTGGAGAGGATGGCGAGTGTGAGCAGGAGCTGTGCCATCAGAGAGGCGGTGTCTGGGATGAGGACTCGGAGGACGGGCCGTGTGTCTGCGACTTCAGCTGCCAAAGTGTCCTGAGGAGCCCGGTGAGGACACCCCCCCAACCCCACTCCAGCTCTGGACAGGCCGTGAGATGGGGGCTGCAGCTGCCCCACTGACACCATTCCCACAGGTCTGCGGCTCAGATGGGGTCACCTACAGCACCGAGTGTGAGCTGAAGAAGGCCAGATGTGAATCCCGGCAAGAGCTGTACATCGTGGCTCAGGGAGCCTGCCGCGGTGAGTGGGCATGCAGGGCATGTTCAAAAGTACATGTGCACACAGCTGTGAGGCATGTGGGGTGGTTCATGGTTGTTGCATGTGTGCGGTGGTGGGCGTGTGAACATGTGTATGGTGTTTTAAGTGTGCAGTGTTGTGCTCATCCACGTTCGTGCAGCTGCAGTGTGGATGTGTGTGGCTGCCAGTCAACGAGTGTATACTAAGTACCTACTGTGTGCTGGGCTGGGCTTCACTGCAGGGAGAGAGCAGTGAATCAGTGAAGCATCTAAACCCCTGCCCCTTCCTGCAGGCCCCACTCTGGCCCCGCTGCCACCTGCAGTTCCCCTGCACTGCACTCAGACCCCCTACGGCTGCTGCCAGGACAACACCACTGCTGCCGGGGGTGTGGGCCTGGCTGGCTGCCCCAGTGAGTATGCAAGCCTGGCCCTGACCCACAGCCAGGAAGAGCCACGCGGCTGCAGTGACCCTGTCTCGCCCTGGCCTTGCAGGCTTCTGCCAGTGCAACCCACATGGCTCCTACAGCGGCACCTGTGACCCAGCCACAGGCCAGTGCTCCTGCCGCCCGGGCGTGGGGGGCCTCAAGTGTGACCGCTGTGAGCCCGGCTTCTGGAACTTCCGTGGTATCGTCACTGATGGCAGGAGCGGCTGCACCCGTGAGTGACAGGGCCCACGGTTGGTCCCCGGCCAAGCACTGCCACTTGTACCCTGGGTCCCTGGGTCCCTGGGTCCCTGGGTCCCTCTTCCTACCTGCCCAGACTACAGCCTGACCCACACCTGGCAGGGGCTGGGTCAGGCTCTGGGGCCCATGGGGAAGCCAGGCACAGATCTCAGCTTCTTCCCCTGCCTCCCAGCCTGTAGCTGTGACCCCCTGGGTGCCGTGCGGGATGACTGTGAGCAGATGACCGGGCTGTGCTCCTGCAAGCCTGGGGTGGCTGGACCCAAGTGTGGGCAGTGTCCAGATGGCCGTGCCCTGGGCCCTACTGGCTGTGAAACAGGTGAAGCCCAGGCCTGGCACTGCGCCAGGCTCCTGTGCTGGGGGTGGGGCCATCGCAGAGATCAGGCCTCTTAGTCAGTGGGGTCTCCCATGTCTGTGCCTCAGACTCCTTGGCACCCAAGACCTGTGCTGAGATGCACTGCGAATTCGGGGCATCCTGTGTGGAAGAAGCTGGCTCTGCCCACTGTGTATGCCCAACGCCCACCTGTCCGGGGGCCAGTGCTGCCAAGGTGAGGAATGGGGAGTGTGGAGGACGGTGGGGGTGGGGAGGGGCCTCCCCCCAGCATCCTTGCCCTGTGCCCAGGTCTGCGGGTCAGATGGAGTCACCTACGGCAACGAGTGCCAGCTGAGGACCATCGCCTGCCGCCAGGGCTTGGACATCTCTATCCAGAGCCTCGGCCCCTGCCAGGGTGAGGCCTTACCCACTGCCCCAGAACTGACCAGGAAGGTCTGGCCCTAGCCCACCACCTGGACTCTCTCCTTGCAGGAGACGTCGCTTCTGACCCTCATCCCACATCTGCATCCATGGCCACCTCGGGGCTTGACTTGAGCGAGGAGTTGCTGCCCCCACCCAGCGCCCTCCCCCTGACTCCCAGCAGTACCCCCCGCAGCCGGCCCACCCCTCGACCCTCCTCACGACCTCAGACCACTGCCAGCCCCCTCAGGACCACTGCAAGGCCCATGCTGACCATGCCTCCCACGGCCCCCTCCACAGCAGCCAGCCTTGCCACATCTGCCTTCGGCGAATCTGGCAGCGCTGACGGGAGTGGCGATGAGGAGCTGAGTGGTGACCTGGAGGCCAGCGGGGCTGGCTCAGGAGGTGGGCATGGGCTCAGGGGCTGAGGGGGCAGGGCCCAGGAGGGCTGCACTGGGGCTAGGCTCAGACTGCACCTCCCCAGGACTTGAGCTCCCTGAGGGCAACAGTGCGGTGACCCCTGGGCCGCCCATTGAGAGGGCCTCCTGCTACAACTCACCGATGGGCTGCTGCTCAGACGGCAAGACGCCTTCACTGGACGCAGAGGGCTCCAACTGTCCTGGTGAGTAGGTGGCTGGGGACTGGGATGGAGCATGAGAAGTGGACTGGATGCTGTCTCCCAGGCGGCTGGCCTGCCCAGCAGGTGGGCCCTTGGGGTGTGTGGTCTTCTGATTTTGGCACACGTGTGTGCGTGGTCTTGGGGATTCAGCACATGCTCACATACGTGTGTTCTCGGCCTCCACACATCTGTGGGTGCCCAGGACCCCGTGCCTAACTTGTTTTTCCTGTTGCAAGCCAACCTGGGGCCCTGCTCCAAGGAATCTGCCTGGTAACTGATGCCAGCCCTGCCCTGAGGCCCCTCTAACCTCATGACCATCTGACTAACTGCCACCCACCCTGCACCCTGCGTTGCTTGCTGCTGGGGCCTGTGCCCGTGGCTGGCCCAGAGGCCAGGCAGGTGCCAGGCACGATCTCACTGCCCCCTCCCCCACAGCCACCAGGGCATTCCAAGGGGTGCTGGAGCTCGAGGGGGTCGAGGGCCAGGAGCTGTTCTACACGCCAGAGATGGCTGACCCCAAGTCAGAGCTGTTTGGAGAGACTGCCAGGAGCATCGAGAGCGCAGTGAGTGTGGGGCCGGGGGCAGGGGTGCAGCCCCTACCAGCCACTGGCCTTTTTCCCAGGACAGACCCCGAGAAGCACTGGTGTGGAAGGCCCAAGGGTCCAGCCTGGGCAGACCCACTCCCAGAGCCTAACCCACTGCCCACCCACAGCTGGATGACCTCTTCCGGAACTCGGACGTTAAGAAGGACTTCCGAAGTGTCCGCCTACGGGACTTGGGGCCCGGCAGCTCAGTCCGAGCCATTGTGGATGTGCACTTCGACCCCAGTGAGCCCCCTGCCCCAGTCCCTCCCAGGAGGTAGTAGGGGACTGCGCTGGGCTCCGTGGTGCTCAAAGTCCCCTCCTCCCCAGCCACAACCTTCAGGGCACCTGATGTGGGCCGGGCCCTGCTCCGGCAGATCCAGGTGTCCAGGCGCCGGTCCCTGGGGGGTGAGGCGGCCTCTGCAGGAACACGTGCGGTTCATGGACTTCGGTAAGTGCCTGGCCTGCCACCTGCCATAGCTTGCCTGTCGCCTCCCCTGCTGCCCTGAGGACCCCTGCTCCTTGTGGATCCTGACCACTCCCCCTGCCCACAGACTGGTTTCCTGCGTTCTTCACGGGAGCCACCCCTGCTGCAGCCACAGCCAGAGCCACCACTGTGGCCCGCCTGCCTCCTTCAGCTGCGACCCCTCGGGCCTTCTACCCTAGTCACACTAGCCGGCCCGTCAGCAGGACCACAGCTCCTGCCACCACACACCAGCCACCCACCACTGCCCCCAGTCGTGTGCCTGGACGCCGGCCCCTGTCCCCAGGAACCCAGCAGCCCCCAAAGCCCTGCGACTCCCAGCCATGCCTCCACGGGGGGACCTGCCAGGACCAGGGCTCAGGCAGAGACTTCACCTGCAGCTGCCCAGCAGGCAGGTGGGGCGCCATCTGTGAGAAGGGTAAGATCATCCGTGCTGGAGAGGGGCAGGGAGGCAGATGGGCCCAGCTGGGGTGGACTAAGCCACTGTCGGGAGCGAGGGGTTGGACAGGGGCGTCAGGTTGGGGAAGGGGGACACCCTGCTGGGGGCAGACGGGCGGTCAGGGCCGAGGCAGCCAGGTCCCCCGCACGCTCCATCGGCCCCTCCCTGTCTCCTGCAGCACTGCGCCCCACCATACCAGCCTTTGGGGGCCACTCCTTCCTGGCCTTCCCCACCCTCCGTGCCTACCACACCCTGCGCCTGGCACTCGAGTTCCGGGCGCTGGAGCTCCAGGGGCTGCTGCTCTACAATGGCAACGCCAGGGGCAAGGACTTCCTGGCGCTGGCGCTGCTTGGGGGCCGTGTGCAGCTCAGGTGGGTGGCGGGCAGGGGTTGGCCACGGGTGAGGGTGTGGGGTGGGGCGATGCCTAGCATGGTCCTGGCTCCTTTTGGCTGTCCTGAGCGCCAGCTCTCGCCCCCACCGCCCAGGTTCGACACAGGTTCAGGGCCTGCAGTGCTGACCAGCTCCGTGCCCGTGCAGCCTGGCCGGTGGCATCACCTGGAGCTATCTCGGCACTGGCGCCGGGGTACACTCTCTGTGGACGGTGAGACTCCTGTCCTGGGCCAGAGCCCCAGCGGCACTGATGGACTCAACCTGGACACAGACCTTTTTGTGGGTGGCGTCCCAGAGGACCAGGCTTCTGTGTGAGCACGGAGGAGAGTGGGGTGGCCCTGACCACAGACCCCTGACCATGATCCTAACCCCTGACTCTTGGGGGAGGCATCCAGGAAGTTGAGGCTCCCTGTGAATAGCAAAGGAGTGGATGGATAGGTGTGGACAGTGTCTGTGACCCTGACCCCAACCCTGATCCTTGACCGTGGCCCTGGTTCTGTCCTCATCCTGAGGACCAGGCTGCTGCGTGATCACCACAGAGGGGCTGGGCTGGCCAGACCTTCAGTCTGACCTTTGACCTTCAACCCAACCCACCTCCTGATTCTGTCCTGTTTGTGGGACTGTCCACCTTGTGAGCACCAGCAGTGGCCAGTGGTGGGGCGGGGGGAGCAGCCCTGACTCACCATCCTGGCTGATTGATGGATGCCGGTGTCACAGCTGGCAGTGAGAGAGGACACTTCTGGCCTCTGGCCTCTGACCCTGACCCTTATCTTGGTGGCAGGGTGCTTGAGCGGACCTCTGTCAACGTCGGTCTTAGGGGCTGTATCCGCCTGCTGGACGTCAACAACCAGCAGCTGGACCTAAGCGTATGGCAAGGGTCTGTGACTCGAAGCTCCCGGGTGGGCGAGTGCGGGGACCACCCCTGCCTGCCCAACCCCTGCCTCAGCGGGGCCCCGTGCCAGGCCCTGGAGGCTGGCATGTTCCACTGTCAGTGCCCACCCGGCCGCTTTGGTGAGGGCAGGACCTGGGCTGGGTGCTGGGGGTGCCTGTGTGTCTGTGGGCGGGGCTCAGGCCTCTCAGGACCCCCATCCTGTCTCCCTCCAGGCCCGACGTGTGCAGATGAGAAGGACCCTTGTCAGCCAAACCCCTGCCATGGGGCAGCCCCCTGCCGCGTGCTGCCCCAGGGCGAGGCCGAGTGCGAGTGCCCCCAGGGCCGGGGAGGCAGCCTCTGCCAAACAGGTGGGGGCATCAGCACTCAGGGCGGGGAGGGTGTTGCGGGTGAGGGGGCTCCAGGGTCAGGGCCCGGTACCCTGTATGACCCCTCTCCTGTCCTCACAGTCTTGGAGCGGGATGGCATCCAGCCCTTCCTGGCCGACTTCAGCAGCTTCTCCTACCTGGAGCTGAAAGGCCTGCACACCTTTGAGCGGGACCTGGGGTCAGTTGGGCAGAGGGCTGGATGAGGGGAAGCAGCCCCCCCACCCCATCCAACCTTGGGGTAAAGGGGCATTGAGGCCGCCCCGCTGACCCCATGTGCTCCCAGGGAGAAGATGGTGCTGGAGGTGGTCTTCCTGGCGCGGGGCCCCAGCGGCCTGCTCCTCTACAACGGGCAGAAGGCAGACGGCAAGGGGGACTTTGTGTCACTGGCGTTGCACGACCGCCTGCTGGAGTTCCGCTATGACCTGGGCAAGGGGGCAGCAGTCATCAGGTGTGCACGTGGACACAGGGTCCCTCAGGCCCTGGTGGGCAGACCAGCAGAGGCCACAGTCAGCTCACAGTGCCCCTCTTCTCCAGGAGCAAGGAGCCAGTGGCCCTGGGTGCCTGGACCCGGGTCTCCCTGGAGCGGAACGGCCGCAAAGGAGCTCTGCGTGTTGGCGATGGGCCCCGTGTGCTGGGGGAGTCCCCGGTGAGCCGGCGCCTCCTGGGCCTTTCCACCTGCTCCCCGCCACCCCCGGGAGGGAGGCGAGTGGCCCCCGCCCCACAGCCGTCTCTCACTGAACTGTTTTCTCTCCCTTCTGTCCTGTGCCTCTGTCTGTCTCCTCTCTGCTCCTACTGCTCTCTGGCCCTTGCTCTGCAACCCCTACCCCGCTCTTCGCTCTCCGGATGTCAGAAATCCCGCAAGGTACCACCTCCCCTCTCGGCCTGCTCATCCGTCCTCTGCCACCTCTACCCCTAGAGTAGCTCCCTCCGACTAAGCCCCACTTGCGCCGCCACATCCGTGTGATTAACTTTGCCTCCCACTAGGCTGGAGGGCGAGTGGGTGGGTCATCATGGGCCGACCAGGTCCTGGTCTGGGCTCCATGTCCTTGTTCCTACCCAGGGGATGGGCTCCACAGCCCCTCATCTTGCACCTCCCCGCAGGTGCCGCACACCATCCTCAACCTGAAGGAGCCACTCTATATTGGGGGGGTCCCTGACTTCAGCAAACTGGCCCGGGCAGCTGCGGTGGCCTCTGGCTTCAATGGTGCCATCCAGCTGGTATGTGGGGCTGGGGTGAGGCTCTGCCCAGCCAGGGGCTCTCCATGGGGGCGGTGTAGTGGTGGCCTCCAGGAAGGGCTCATCCGAGAGGGGGCCTCTGTCCTCCTGGGCTGGGCGCTGCCCTGAGGGTTGGGAGGACGGCAGGCAGGGACAGAGGCTTTCACGCCCTTCCCCCAGGTCTCCCTGAATGGTCTCCAGCTGCTGACCCGGGAGCACGTGGTGCGGGCGGTGGACGTCTCATCCTTTGCAGACCACCCTTGTACCCGGGCCACAGGTCACCCTTGCCTCAACGGGGCCTCCTGTCTCCCTCGGGAGGCCTCCTACGAGTGCCTGTGCCCTGGGGGCTTCTCAGGGCTGCACTGTGAGAAGGGTGAGTGATGCCCGCACGGGGCTGAGGCTGGACCCGGTGGAGCCCCACCAAGGCCAGCGCTCACGCTGGCTGTCTCTCAGGCCTGATTGAGAAGGCAGCAGGGGATCTGGACGCCCTGGCCTTTGACGGACGGACCTACATCGAGTACCTCAACGCCGTGACCGAGAGGTAGTGTGCTACCCGGGGGCTGCGCATTCCCCGCCCTCTGCTGTCTGTCTGGTCCCATCAGTGCACACCTGCAGGGTGAGATGCAGGGCCCTCCACACCTGTCCCGGCTCTGTGGCCAGGAAGGGGAGGCCCAGCGTTTGCCGGGCTCCACCACCCCTGCCCACCCCACTCCTCCTCCACACTCCTTCCTTCTCATGGCTCTGTCTCTTTGTTTCCAAGCGAACTGACCAATGAGATCCCAGCGTAAGTAGCATCTGGGGCCCTAGCTGCACCTTCACTCTCTCACTCTGGTCCATCTTCTGCTCCTCACCCACCTGGCAGCACATCCCGAGGGCAAGGGCGGAACTTTCCATCCCCAGTTGAGGATGGGGGTTTTGGGGGCTGTTTGTGCCACACGGGGCTCAGTTTCCTAGCTTGGAAGTGAGGAGTCACCCCTTTCCAGGATGTGTGCTGAATGCCAGGCCACTCATTCGCCCCTGCAGCCCCTCCTCTCACCACAAGGCACATGTGTGCGTGTGGATGCATCCCCATGCATGCCCACGTGTCTGTGTGCCCACACACACATGTGTCTGTGAGTCTGTGTGCACTTGCACATGTTGGGGGCATCCAGGAGCCTCTCCCAGGCAGGGCCCCTAGTCTCCATCCCATGCGACTCAGGCCTCCACTCTCACCCTCTGCCATGCCTGCCAGCTCCATGTCCACGTGTGCTGCACGTGCCACTGCCAGAGCTCTGTAGGGGGTGGAGCCAGTGCCCTGGGCCCGAGTGCCTCTGTGGCGCTTGCTCCTCCCACCTTCCACTGTTGAAAGGGGATGTGGGGAGAGGCTGCTGCCAGGTCCCACCCTGCCCTGCACTACAGCCTGTCTGTCCCCCGCTCACCTGCCTCCCTCTCTTCCTGCTTCTAAGCCCTGAAGCTCCAGATTCCGGGGCCCTCCACAGGTGAGCAGTGGCCCCCGGCCCCCGCTGACTGCCCATCGTCTTCCCATCTCTCTGTCTCTCAGTCAAGCTGTCCCTCTGTCCACCTCACTCCTCTGACTGTGTCTGCCCATCTGGCCCCACCTCCCACCGTCCAGCTCTTGGCCCATCAGGCCCACTGTTGGTGTCCACCACCTGCCCATCCAGCTGCCCCAGTGGCATCACCAGCCTTTACGGCCTCTGTAGTCCTGACCCTCGCCTCCCTACCTCACCTACCCTATTCCCACCACCCTCCTGGAGGTCCTGACCAGCACTCTGCCCACCAGTGAGAAGGCGCTACAGAGCAACCACTTTGAGCTGAGCCTGCGTACTGAGGCCACACAGGGGCTGGTGCTGTGGAGCGGCAAGGCCACAGAGCGGGCAGACTACGTCGCACTGGCCATCGTGGACGGACGCCTGCAGCTGACTTACGACCTGGGCTCCCAGCCCGTGGTGCTGCGCTCCACCGTACTAGTCAACACCAACCGCTGGTTGCGGGTCAGGGCACACAGGTCAGGAGGGGGCCAGGGACACCAAGAATAGCAGCGGGTGATGCCTGGACTTGCCCAGCCAGGGCATGCCTGGCCACTCGTGGCTAGGGTAGGAGTTTGGTCGGGGAGGCGGCCACTTGACCTGAGGTCGCTGCCAGTGAGGCCAGAGGGACAAGAGGACATAGGAGAGGCAGTAATGTCCAAGTGTTCTGAAGGGGATTCCCTGCTCTGTCCAGACGCTGGCTGGGGATGTGTCCCTCTGGTCTGAGCCCTGCCATCCCCTCTAGCAAAGCTTGACCCACGTGAGGCCCCCCACCCTTGGCCATCAGGTGCTCTCCTGGGGTCAGTGCTACCCCATCCTGGCCCCCAGGGGTGCCATTTGGTCCGCAGGGTGTGGTGTTGGGGTGAAGGGATGGAGGGGTCAGGATCTGGAGGCAGCAGTGTGGGCCCCCTGGAGCCGCCTAATGGCCTCACCCCACCCACACCCCCAGGGAGCAGAGGGAAGGTTCCCTTCAGGTGGGCAATGAGGCTCCTGTGACTGGCTCCTCCCCACTGGGCGCCACACAACTGGACACAGACGGAGCCCTGTGGCTGGGTGAGTATCCTGGAGGGAGGTGGGGGCGGGGTCAGCCAAGGGTCTCAGGCACTCTGAAAGACAGATCCCATCCCCGAGGGCTGGCAGCTGTGTCAGCCCCACCCAGGACAGCAGACAGGCTGGCTGGGGTGGGGCCCTCTCCCCTCCTGTCTTAGCCCCTATAATTCCCAGGGCGGTGTGGGGCCGGGAGGCTGGAGCACATCCGCAGGTTACCTGGTCCCTGCAGGCCCTGACAGCCCCCAAGTAACTCACCTGGCCATTCAGGTGCAGTGGGCCCCTCTGCCTTCCAGTGTCCTGCCTGCCCATCACTGAATCATAGCCCAGTGACCTTTCCTCTGTGTTCCTGCAGGTGGCCTGGAGAAGCTGCCTGCAGGCCAGGCCCTGCCCAAGGCCTACGGCACGGGCTTCGTGGGCTGCCTGCGGGACGTGGTGGTGGGTCGGCGCCCGCTGCACCTGCTGGAGGACGCCGTCACCAAGCCGGAGCTTCGGCCCTGTCCTGCCCTGTGAGCCACACCACACCCACCACCTACCCTGCTGTAATTATTTTCTATTTTTGTAAACTTGTTGCTTTTTTGATATGATTTCCTTGCCCATGTGTCGGCCGGAGGGACTGCTGGCCCAGCCTCCCTCCTATCCAGGCAGGCGAGCTGCAGAGACAGACTTGGTGCCCAGGGACTCTCAGGGTGATGGGGGTGGAGGTGATGTGGCACGTGGAGGGCTTGGCTCACTTGGCAGTCTTGGGATGTGCCCCTCTGCCTCAAGACACCGTGTCCTGGCCTCTTGGGCTGTGCCTTCCCCGTGTGTCCACTCATGTTGGCCCTCGTGTTTTCCAGCCTGTCAGCAGACCCCACATACACGCTGCCTATGTTCCATCTGGTGAGACCAGTGTCCACAGAGCAGGAGGGCCCTTCCTCTATGCAGGCTCTATGAGGCCTTTCTGGGGTCCCACCTGAGCCATTCCTCCTTCCAGCATGTGCCCGCTGGGGCTAGCCTCACCAGGGCTAGCCGAGCCAGGGCCAGCCCCTCCAGGGCCTCCTGTGCCAATACTGTGACTTGGAAAAAATGTCACTGTTGGGGCGACACTGCACCCTTCCCTCCAGCTGTGCCCACTAGTCGCAAGGCACTGGAGAGTGGAGGCCAGGCCCAGGCCTGTTCAGGGCACCCTGGCCGTCAGCTGGCCCTGCCCATCCATCCAGCCACCCTCAGCATGGCTGTGTTCCCTCCCTGTAAGGAGTCTGAGAGGGAGCGGGGCTACTGTGTGGTATGGTTGACGTCTACTGCCTGCTTACCTGGGCTGCAGGCATCCTCTCTCAAGGAGGCATGTCCAGTCCTGACCACCAACCACAGTCTTAATGTATTGATTTTATTTGACATCTGTGGTGGTGGGGCTGTTGTCTTTCCTGTCCTGGATTGAGGGCAGCTGAGGACACTACACAGCAAACCTCTCCAATTCTAGTGCAAGAAGTGGCTGTCCTTATCCAGGAATGACCAGGAGCTGACCAAGGCCAAGGGGTAGGTGTAGGAGTGGCAGAGATGGCTGCAAAGCCAAAAATGCCTTAAACTGCAATGTTAGGTTTCATCTGGTCTGGTCTCCACTGTCTGCCTGTGTCCCGTCCTGGTCAGGGTGGCAGCCCCGAGCCTCCCACAGCCCCTCCCACAGCCAGGCCTCGGCTGTCTGGCTTAGAAGCTGGAGGGAGCCTCATATGTCCTGTTACTAACTCCAGTACGTGTCTGTGTCAATCGCCGTGAAATAAAGTCTAAACACTTTAAAGAGGTGCTTGCATGTGTACCCACAAACCACTGCCATCAGCCCCACCTGGCCCTGCACTCGCCCACCTGGCTGGTTCTTCTTTATAGTAGCTTCTTGCTCCCTTAGGTGGCTCTCGATGGACGAGGGTCCCAGCGATGGGGTGGGGGGCTGCTTTTGGTAAGGAGACCCCATGCAGTGAGTGTGCACTGCTGTGCATGGGTGAGCTCCTGGTGGCCTCCTTCAGGACTGCAGGTCTTGCCACGGGTGCATGTGCCTGAGTGTCTGCACACATATCAGCCTGTTCTGTGTGTCTGTGAACACAGTATGGGAGGAGGGGCTGTGCGGAGAGCGGGCTGAGGGGGAGCCAGGATGGGATGGGGGGAGGGGAAACAGGGAGGATAGGGGTTGGGGTGTGGGGTGGTCCTGTGCTGGGATGGACACAGGGTGGAGGAGGCACTGACTGAGGCACCCTGATGCATCTGGAGGGGCTGAGCTGGAGGAGCTGAGGCCACCTGAATGGAGTGCAGAAGGCCATGGGATACCAGGCAGAGGGGAGGCTGGGCTGAGGCCTGGCACATGAGGGAGTAGGCAGGCTCTGCTAGGTGCTAAGTGAGGGGAGAAGAGGCCCCCAGATGGGGAGATCAAGGAGAAGGTGGGACGGGAAGCTGGAAGGAGCAGGAGAGGGTGCTCTGGGAGCTGATACTTCCAGAAGGAGGGGGCTCTCAGGGCAACCAGTGCTAAGGTTGCAGGACCCTCAGGTGGTCAGGAGGGTGAGGAAGAGGAAGAGCAGTGGGCAGTGAGGGCTGACCTGCCCTCAGCACTGGTGGGTGGGGATTTGAGATCAGAGGTTGCAAGCAGCAGAAGGCTCGAAGCCCTGGTGTACCACTCTTGAAAAGGCCAGAGGGGCTGGGCAGGGCCTGGGCAGGCCCTGACACACCTAATGGGAATCCCAAAGTTAGGAGCCCAGGCATGGAAGGGTGGAGCCCCAGGGACAGACTCATGAGAGGTGATTGTCCAGTGGGGGCAGGATGGGGATGACAAGCTAGCCTGGTGGGGGCAGTTGTAGCAGGACAAAGGCCCTGAGATCCAGGGAATGTCTGCATCATTTAGGAAGTGTAGCGACCAGGTAGGGCACAGAGGTGGGGAGGAGGGAGGAAGGCAGCCCCAAGCCAGGACGGTGTAAGAGGAAAGACCTGGTTATCACCTGGGCTCCCACCTCCGCCCCTCTGGGGTCTCGTCTGGGGTCCCCCGTGGGACGCGGGGCGGGTGGGATCTGTTCCGCCCCCTCATCCAGATCCGAGCCCCTCCTTCAGAATGTGGGGACCACAGCCCCTTCTCCCCGAGAACGGAGGCGGAGCCGGAAAGGTTCTTGGAAGGAAAGCGCCCACGTGAGCTGAACCGCGCCACTCGGAGCAGGGCCGCCCGGCGCCTTCTCTCTCCGAGCCCGGGACGTCGTGTGACCCCTAGGGCGCCCTCGGGACCTGCTGCTTTTATTCCGGTCTCCCAGCGTCTTGAGACATGAGGGCGCTGGGCCTTTAAGAGAGATTGGGAGGGGCGGGGCCTCTAGGTAGGCGTGGCCAGGTGGGCGGAGTGGGCCAGTTGTGGGCGGGGCTCCAGTGGGCGGGTCCTCTTTGTGGGCGTGGCCTCCTCGGCCCCGGCCAGAGCTTCCAGACCGAGCAGACATGACCTCGCGCAGGTGAGCCTGGCCACCCGGTGGCCCGACGCCACGACCTCACGACATGGGCTTAGGGCTGACGGGCGCAGACAGGGCCGGGACGTCTCCCGCTCCTGACCGGTGGCCTCCAGGCCTGGCCTTCTGACACTCACCCACCTCCAGAGCCAGGGCCACCGGATACCTGTGTCCCGCGCCAGAGAGGCCTAGCCTCACTCAGGAGGCTGGAAAGGACTCTTTTCGATCGGGGTTACTGGGCCTGGGTCGGGGTCAGAGGTACCCTGACCCTAGGGAACGGATTGTGTCCTTAGGTGGCAGTGGCTGGAGCCTAGAGTGGGCAGCATGTGTCAGGTCAGAGGCAGACCCTCCCTCTCTCACTCCCCTGGACTCCTTGCCCTGCTTCAGGCTGCCTTTTGGCCACTAGAGATGTGTTCTGCCTGGCAGGGTATCCCACCTCCTCCAGGCCTGAAACTGAGGGTATCCTGGAGGCTTCAGTCTCCCCCTCTAGGTGTGGCCCCTGCAAAGACAAGTCCCCCTCCACAGGCTCATCTCCCCCACAACCGCCTAAGGCCAGGCTTAGGAGCAAGCTCCTGGGGTGTGTGTGAGAGCCAGCTTCTGGCCTCCATGAAGAGGGAAGGTGGGACGTGTGCAGGGAGGGGCACTTTCTGCCCTTTCTACCAGATCCCAGCTCCCCGAGTGTGTGCACACATGCATGTGAGCTCAGACTCTAGCTGGGCATGGGTGTCAGTGGGGAGCTACTCAGGTGTAAGATGCATGTCACCGCTTCCTGGCACTTGGCACATCCAGAACACCCCTCTGGGGCTTGATGAGGCTGGATGTCATTGGAGGGGGTCACCCTAAGACCGTGAGTGACTCCCTAGATCAGTGAGGGACTGAACAAGGTCTGATCTGCAGGGCCCAAGGCAGTGCCTCAGCTGTGAGGGTCCCAGAATCCTTCCAAGGGTGTGGTGATCCTGGCACAGTGGCCTCTCGCAGGGTCAAGGGCCCTCTTAGGCTTAGGAATAGTGGAAGTGGGTTGAATCTCTAGGAACTTGTCAGTCCCAGAGCCCTGTGATTCCAAGGTTTAACATCCAGCTGGAGCTCAGGGAGGAGGGCATTTTGGGGTCTGGTTGGAATGACCCGTCTGGCTCCCCTCAGCTTCACTCTTGCTTGTCTCCTAGGCATCTCTGGTGCTCAGAAAAAGCCATATCCATGTCATGTGCATGTGACCCTGGGCCAACCTGGGAAAGCCCCGGGTGGGGCTCTGCCTGCCCCTGCCAACCCTCCCTGCCCAAGCTTGTGATGACCATCTGGACTGTCACTCCTCTGGCCCCTGGGTCTCTGCCCACACCCCTATCAGGCCTGGGCAGGCCCAACCAAATCCCAAGTAAAGCTCATCCCCCCATGCCTGCCCCCACCCTCTGGCCCCTTCCTGTAGCCCTGTGGTTTGTGGGTCAGTGTGCACCTCCATCAGCATCACTCACCCAGGACTCTGGTGCTGTGGGCAGGGCTGGGCATGGTCCTGCCAGAGTGCTGTGGTTTGATGTGTTGATATTGGTGTCTGAGGGAGGAGAGTATAGCTCAGTGGTAGAGTGCCTACCTAGCATGCACGAGGTCCTGGGTTCAATCCCCAGTACCTCCATCAAAAGTAAATAAATAAAACCTACCCCCCAATAAAATAAAGTAAAAGATATTGGTGCCTGGGAGGAAGCTGGGTCCACAGGAAGAGGAGGGTACAGCTGAACCCGCTCAGGTTCCCTCTCTGTTCAAAGTTGGAGAGGAAAATGTGTCTCTGATTAATCTGGTCCTGCACAGACAGGACAGACGTTGATTGAGTTTCCTCGGAGGAGGGGCTGGGGGACAGGGAGATGGAGAAGGACAGTGACTGTGTTCTGGGGCCCTCAGCCCTGGAATTCCAGCCTGGGACCCTTCTCCACTGGCCTGTGTATCTCCCACCATCACAATGTCTTCCCTACAGGTGTGTCCAGCCCTTGTCCCATGTGTGCATAAGCATGTTGACAGGCTGCTCACTGGGTCTCCTAGAGTCCCAGGGTTGGAGCAGTGCCATACAGATGGGACACCAAGGCCACAAAGGAAGCTGGCCAGCGGGTTTAGGCTGATCTCTTAGGTAACCTGGGCTGTCCCTGGGCTCCTGAGCACTGACTGGACTCAGCTGGGCCCAGGCTGTTAGACTTGTGGAGAGCCCAGTATGCCCTGCTCAGCCCACCTGGCTCTCTCCCGGTTCTGCCTGACCCATGTCACCACAGCAGAGCTGAGTCACTGACCCACCACAGAGCAGGGACCCCTTCAGCACAGAAATGACTCTGAGCCCTGGGCACAGAGGGGGCGTGGAGATTGGAAATGGGGACCTGCAGCCTCCCTACCTCCTTCCACCCCTTCAGCCAGGCGCAGCCAGCTGGCCTGCTAGGAACCTGGCTCCTGGTAGTCGGGTGTGTGGGAGGGCAGTGGTGTGAGCTGTTGCACCCTCTCTGGACGTCCCACCCCTAGAGATTTCCACCTGATAGACCCAGGGGCAGTTTGCGTGGAGGAGAGAGGGATGAAAAGTAGGAATGAGAGTCCTGGAAAGGACATACACTGTGCCCTTCACCCCTTGCTGTGGCTTTGATGCTGGTCTCCACCCTCTATCCCTGCCCCCACACTCTGGGCATTGCCCACCTTGGACTGGAGTCTGTGGCTGCTGGGGCCGGGGGAGGGGCAGCCGGGTACAGGATGTGGTTCAGCAGAATAGGTGGACGGGCTTGCGGGGGGGGGGCGGCCGGAAGCCTTCTTTTTGGTTCTAGTCCCCCCACCCCCACTGCAGTGTCTCAGACGGCACAAGGCCATCACCCTTTTCCTGGTGGCCTCACCTGCTCTCCTGTGACTGGACCTGGAGGTCATTCTGTGGCAGCTCCTGCCCCAGGAAGTCTTCCCTGGCAGCCTCACCTGCCAGACCACTCGACCAAAATTGCCCCCAGGTCTGGGTCCTCCTCCTGTAGGAGAGAGCTTGAGACCCCAGGCCCCAAACATGCCCAGGAAGTGCCAGGCTGGTAGTACCCCTACTTCCCCCAGGGAGAGTGGGAGTGGGAGCACTGGGCGGCCCTGGGCACATTGTCTGAGCTTCTGGGCCTCTGTGAACCAATATGTGGACCCTGGGGAGCCACAGAAGTCAGAATGGAGTGTGTCCTCCCCGGGGCTAACGTATAATGGTGACGACACAGGGGACAGGTGAACACAGAAGCATGTACACGCCTATCTGCTATTAACCGGTGCCACATTTGGAAGGTGGAGCAGTGATGCAGCTTGACTGGGAAGGACCTCTCAGGAAACAGGCAGGGAGGGAGTATGAGCCATGGCCACAGGGGTAGGTGGGAAGTGGCCAGACGAGGGGAGAGGTCAGGGAACAGAGATGGAGAACACGGTATTTGCCGTGGTGGTTCTGCCAGGTGTGTCGGTGTCCTGAGAGCCACAGAGGGCCACTGGCGAGGTTTAGGTGGCTCTGATCTCCATTTTCTGAGAATCCCTCGGTCTGCCACGGCTCGGCTGTAGGGTCAGAGATGAGGCCCAGGGACCTGGAATCAGTACTGTCATCCAGGCAAGAGCTGATGGGCGCTGGCCCCAGGGTGCTGGGAGAAGTGTTTGGCTGTGGGGTATTTAGAAGGCAGGGCAAGAGGGTGGCGAGGTTGGGAGGGTGCTGGAGGACTTGCGGGCAGGACCTGAGTGACGGGGAGGTGGTGGCCCCCTTCACAGAGTGAGGACCGTGCAGAAGAACGGGGGCTTGAGGGTGTTATCGGGAGGTTTGAATGTTGCAGATTTTAAGATAGAGATGCTGGTACCTGTCCAGAGATGCTGAGAAGAGTTGTGTCTGTGAGTCTGAAGTTCAGGCCCAGGCAGGGCTGGAGTTGAGATGGTGCGTGGATGTGTAGACGTGTGTAGGTCACAGGAGAGGGGCTCTGACATTATAGGGCCAGAAAGAAGAGGAAGAGGACGCCAGTCGGATGTGGTGCAAAACCAGGGGAGTGTGCACACTTGAGAACAGCAGAGTGGAGGTCGCACTTCTAGAAGGAGGCATGATCCGCCGCGTCAGATGCTGCTGAGGATTGAGGCCTGACCACCGGCCCCAGGAGGCGGGTGAGAACCTGTGAGCCCCAGTCTCAGTGGGGCTGGGGGGCACCAGGATTCAGGGCTGTGGGGACTCAGGCGAAGATGGGCAGTGCTGACCAACTTTCTGTGGTGGTGGAAATGTTTCCACCACTGCGGTCAACAGTCCCCACCAGCTACAGCAGCTTTCAGCAGTGAAACGTGGCCCCTGTGACCAAGACTGGGATTGGGATTCTGCTGAATTGTAATCCATTCACGGGCACACCCCACACAAGCCATAGGCTGCGTACTGGGCAGCGCAACATAGACTGTGCAGGGGGATGGCTCCTTAGAGGTGTTGGACAGGAGCTGAAGTCAGGGCACAGGAGGCCTGAGAACGGGGTGGAGGGAGGAGGGAGGGCCCGGAGGGAAGAAAGCGGACAGCTTTTACACAAGAGACGCGATCTGATTCCCATTCCGGAAGGACCTCAGTGGGGCAGCTGTGGGGGCAGAGCAGGGTCCTCCCGGGGCACAGCAGCCACCCCACTTGTGCCCAGGTTATGACTGCAAACAGCTGGTCGGGGCCTGGGGACGCAAGGCAGTGGAGTTGGAGTTGGAGGCCTGGTTTCCCTCTGGGTGCAGGACTGGGCAGGACCATCCCCCACACCATGTGTCACTGTGCAGTGAGCTGGGGACACACTTCAACCAGGTGTCCCAAGCTCCTCCTGCAGTGACCCTTGGTGACCCTGGGGGAGATGGTGTTGCCAGTGAAAGGCCAATTGCAGCGCCACAGGGTCATGCTGGGGGATTGCAAAGGGGTCCGTGCTCTGAGGGGCTCTGGCACTACCACATTGGTGTGATTGAATCAAGGCCCGGAAACTCCTGCCCTAATGGGGAGATGCACTGAGACAGAAAACACCACGGCGAAGAAAACAGCAGTTGCAATCTCAGACGTGGGCTCACGTGCAGCCCTGAGCTGTACCCCCATCCCCTTGGGGGCTGTAAAGGACCGTCCCAGGGTGGGGGTGGGGTTGAGTCCTCTTAGCATGGACGCCCCGCTTGGTCCTCCACCAAGACCTGCCTCGGCCTGAATTGGGCCCTGCAGTCCTCAGGACCCGCGGTGATCCTCTGGGCCTCCCTGGCCCAGCCCCACGCGCAGCCCAGCCACCAGCCACCTGCTTACCCACCACTCACCACCCATTCAGTAGTCATTTACTTCTGAATTCAAGCCCAGTTGTTAGCCCGCAGGCACTGTTTAGGGCCCTGGGTACATGCTGCACAGTGTCTGCCCTTGTGGGGCTTCAGTCTCAAGCAGAAGACATGCAACAAGCCAATAAATACATAATATATGTCAAAGAGATGACAAATGCTACGAAGGGAAATAAGGCAGAATAAGCATCGAAGAGTGAGGTGATGGGCCCCCAAGTCACAGGAAGTGGCCGGGAGTGAGGACGGCTGGGGCGGAGGCCCTGAGGTGCGTGGCCTGGTGTGGGTGAAGGGCTAAGGCTGGCAGGTAGGAAGGGCGAGTGCTGACGGCATGGGAGGTGGTTGTGGGCCCATGGGCTGTTCTCCTGTTCTGGGGGGCTGACCAAGTGACTGACACGATGTGCTAGGGTCCCTCGGGTGGCCAGGACTGGGAGTGGTGGGGCCGAAAGGGTCTGCCCATGGGCTGTAAGGGATGGGGGACCCTGGGCCTCTCTGGGGCATCCTTGGTGCCTTTGGCTGAGCTGGGCCGGCGGTGGGTGAGGGAGAGGCCAGGCACAGGAGGTTTGAGCCAGAAGGTTTGAGCTGAGGTGCCTGGTGGCGTCCTGTGGGGGTGCTGGAGGGGCCCTGTCCTGCCCACCTGCCACTGTGGGAGATTTCCACCCATCTGTGTCC